AGTTCTGCTGGCTGCAGTGGCAGCTGTTTCTGCTCTGTACACATTGGGAGGGGTCCTGATGTGCCTGGGGCTGGGAGACAGCTGCCACTGCAGAGCTCTCCCAGCCCCATGGACATGGGAACAGCTCCTGGGGGCTTGTCAGGAGCTGTTCTGTTTCTGGGGCAGCTGCCAGCCAGCCCCTCGCGGGGCAGGGATTTTGCCACGGAGCTGGGGCTGACTGGAAGCTGTCCTGCTTCTGGGACAGTCCCCAGCTGCTCAGGGAAATCCCAAGCCAGCCTGGGGCTGGCTGGAAGCTCCTGGCTAGTCCCCAGCTGTACGAGGAAACAGAGAACCCCCCAGTCCCAGAGCTGCTCAGCTCCAAGTTCCTGTGGGGAGCTGGGAGCTGAGCAGCATTGTGGAGGGCGGAGGGGCAGGGGGCAGAGCTACCTTGTCCCAGTGCTGCTTGGCTTCTGGCTCCTGGGTGGGAGCCAGGAACTAAGCAGTGCTGGAACCTTGGTGTTGGGGCTGACCAGGAGCAAATTTGGTCCCAGGGCACTACTACACATGCACTACTGCATAGTATCTACTGGGCAATTTACTACCTGTATTTACAAGTAGTAGCTAACTGCACAGTAGACTAATTTACTGCACTGTAAATGGTGCGCATATATACATAGTTATGCTTTACCGTGCGGTAGATTAGTCTGCTGTGCAGTAAAGTGTCTCATGTAGATACACCCCGTTTGGCTAGAAACATGTCATTTTTTGACATGGCAGCAGCTATGCTAGTATGTATCAGTAAAACCACACATTCCCGTTTGTTCCCCAGGGTTAGGCTCTTCTGCTCCCAAGGCTCCAGGGGCCTGATCCTGTGGGACAGTGGCCCCAGGTGCTACATCTTGGCCCAGAGTGCTGCAGCTTGGAAGTGTTGGGGGATTCCTGGGGCATGCCTCTGCAAGTGGGGAAATGCAGGAGGTGTTTCCATGCAGGGGAGTTCCCATGGTGTACATGATCAGGCGCCAGAAGTCCTGGGAGTCCCTAATTAGGGCAGCTGGAGAATGGAGGCAGCTGTGGGCTGCTTGTGCTTTCTTCCCATAAATCAAATGGAGGTCTGCCCCAAAAAGCAGCACAAATTGTTACCACCTGTTATTGCAGCCAGAGTTTCGATCATTTGTGGCATGACAAGAGGCATGGATGCCTGTTTACTTGCACTTTGTCTCTCAGAAAACATTTTTTTGATGGAACAAAGGCAGTGTCTGCAGTGTTTGAGTATTAGGAGTGGAGTAGTGTTGCTGTACTTTTGGAGGTAAGTAGAAGGAAGATAGTGTCCCCAATGTTTTCTGGTTTTAGAAGGAGAAAGAGAGAGCCTATAAAAGATGGTTCATATTAAGTATATACAATACTAGAATCAAATTTCTCTATTTCCTTGAGCAGAGGAGCCTCAGAGCAATGTGAGGGAAAGTCTTTTTTCCTCTATTCTTGTTCACTGACACTTCACAGGTGAGAGCTTTTGGGGCAAGAGAATGTGATTGCACCGCTTTATTCATGCCTTGAACAAGCATTCATTTCTAGTGGTGGAAATGTTTGATTCATGGGGAGCAGAACCTTCTCCACATCTCCCTGTACATGGGACTGGAGTAAAAGGGCAAAGTCTCCTTATGTGCTTCCCAGATTGGGGATCTCAACAGGCCTGTGGCACCAGCTTTGAATGTGCCGTCTAGGAGTAGGCTCCTCCATGTGCAGCACATTAAAAGCTGGCACCTGCAGTCCCTAGGAGTGGAGGGAACTGTGTGGCAAAGCCCACTACCTCTTCCCCACATTAGGTAGTCCCCAGTTTGGGGAAGAAGTAGGAAGTAGTGGCTGCTGCTTCCCTTCCTTTCCAGACCAGTCTTCTCCAAACCAGGCAGTCCCTGGCTTGGGGAAGAGGTGGGGAGCAATTTCTGCTGCTCCTTTCTCTCCTGGACCAGACCAAGAGGGGAGTGTACAAGTGTTAACTCTTGTGAGAGACTTTTTCTCACAAGGAGCATCTTCCAAGTTAACACCTAGAAGATCATTCTCCTGGAGAGAGGCATATTTCCCCTGGGAAAAAAATGGCATGGATGCTGTACGCTTGCAGTTTTTACCATGAGAGCAGCCATTCTCCCAGCAGAAATGGAGTGCTTGTTAGGGCTGTCTGAAGCTTTGGTCCCTGATTTTGATTCGGTGGAGATTCTGCCTGATTCATGGCCGAATCTCCAAATCCGAATCGAATTAGAGGCCCCTTTAATCTTTCTGAATCAAATTGGAACCCTCCAAATCAATTTGGAAAGATATGGAGATTCAGACATAGACACAACTTTAAAAGTTTTTTCTACATACCTTGAGGTACCAGCACAGCTCATGATTGCTGCAGTGCTGGGACTCATGGAGTGTCCCACAGGAGCACGGGGGGCCCCGCCATGTGCTTGGTGGCGAACCTGGAAGTGGACCGGAAATACTTCCGGTCCATTTATGGATCTGCCGGGGAGTGCACTGGGGCCCCTTGACACCCCCCTGGCTTGGTAGTTGGCTGTGGGGGGACCTTGGGTGCCCCCCTCGCCAGACACAGGAGGCACCAGTCTCCAAGCCAGGGGGGCGCAGGGGGGCCCCCCAGCGTGCTCCCTGGAAGATCTGGAAGTAGACCAGAAGTGCTTCTGTTGCACTTCCGGGTCTGCTGCGGAGTGCGGTGGGAGCCCCCCGTGCTTCTGTGGGACACTCCATGTACTCCAGCATTGCAGTGTTCATGAGCCGCCTGGCACCTTGAGGTATGTAGAAAAAACATTTAAACTGTGTCTATGTCCAGATCACTGATTCTTCAAATCAGCATCGAATCTTCAGATTTGGATTCGGCCGAATTGAATCAGGGACAGTGATCCGAATCAACGAATCGAATCGCTATCCCTGATTTGGGCCAAATCCTAATGAAATAGGGCCTGCTTTGCACACCCCTAATACTTTGTCACAGGCGGAGAAAGACTGGGGAGACTCCTGGGCCTATGGAAGGAGCCCCAGAGCCAGGGGCAGGGGGTGGAACGGAGAGGAGGAAAAACAAAAAAATTAACTTACTCACCACAGGATGCGAGGAAGAGCAGGGACGGCAGGAGAAGCTCGCGCGTGGCCTGGACGATGCCTTAAGTCACCTACGGTTGGCAGATGACATCACTCCTAATTGCCAGCTGGCAGAGATAAAAGGGCCGGCGGCGAAAAGGAGCAGGGGCGCGCACATGGTTGCCGGGAGGGAGCCTGGCCGGTGGAGTCAGCTGGAGGTGCGGAATGCCGGAGCTGACTGCTGGTGCTTACCAGAGGGAATTAAACAAACCCAGGGACGAGCCAACGTCCGAGGACAGCACGACAGCGGCGGGTGAGCCGGGAGAGAGAGCAGTAAGAGCTCCGGTGGCGCAGAGGGGTCAACGGACTGAAGAAGACCTGGAGAGAGGGCTGTGGTCTGGGGGAGACCCAGAGAGAGGGCTGCGGTCTGGGGGAGACCCGGAGAGAGGGCTGCAAACCAGAGAAGGCCCGGAGAGAGGGCTGCAGTTCGGGGCAAACCCCAGAAAGAGGGGCACGGCCCCAGGAGATCCAGAGATAGGGTCACACCGGTGGGATACCGGACAAGGGGTGACAAGAACTTGAGATAGACGGAGAGAGGGCCACAGAACCAAGCCACAGGCAGGTGACCCAGTCACTAAGCGGAAGGGGAGAGAAGCTACTGGCTCCACAAGGAAACGTAATAGGGGCAGGGTTATGCCTCTCTTGAGGCCCATTGAGTTTTTATTTGAGTTTTGAAGGGTGTTTTGTGTTTCCCTGGATTAGAAGGGGCTGAGGTCGTGACAGCAGGGAGCTAGAGCGAGGGGTGAGCTCGTTGGTAGAGTATCTTGGGAAATATTCAGGCAACCACGGAAACAGCCAAGACCGGCTGGGCTGGGTAAAGGGCGAGGTGCAGGGGAGGAGGAGCAGCCTCGCAGAAGACATCTATGATGCAGGTGACTGACAAGGGTAACCGCGCTACACGAAGCTCCACCCACTGAAAGATTCAAGTCATGGCAGGTGAGAAGGGGCAGGCTGCGGCATGTGGAAGAGCCTCCTGGAAGGCCACCTGCGACGGCTAGGCGAGTACCGGTAAGCTCTCGGAGCAAGGAAGCCCGAGGCAAGATGTATGAGGCCCGGCGGGTACATACTTGTTACCTTTTTACATTGTCATTTACCTGGTACCTTTTGCCAATAATTGCTGATCATGTTCGTCCTTTCCTCCTAGTGTAAGACCACTAAATTTGATTATTGTCTATTTGTTACTCTGCCAGACTCACCATCTATGCAGAATCTGGATATAATACTAACTTACCTAAGTGAAGAAAGATATTTGGCTTTTTACTTTCTTACCTATTAACCCCCTAGGAGAGTGTGTGAGACATTCATAAAAACATACCATGGCAAAGCATGGTGGGAATTCTTATATCATATTAACAATAAAATACCAGATGACTGAAATCTGTATAAGACTTGGAATATCCATTGATGGGAATAACTGCAATTTTAAGGGAAGTTCTGGATCTTTTTCAAGCTGGGTCTTTTTGGCTTTAGTTTGGTTTTTAAAATAGTTTTATTTATATGCTTATTAACATAAACATTTAAAATATTATTCTGAAGGTAGCTAATAAATATTTGGTGGATACAATTGAGCTTTACAATGATATTCATTTTTTTCCCTGGTATTTGAAGCTTGGAGATACTGTGTGCTTGTAGTAAGGAGGTTTATAGAGTTCAGAGGTGCATTAATTTTAAAGTCAAGGGATAAGTTTAGAAATTAAGAATGTCAAGAAGCTCTTTCTCTAACGTGAGATGCATACTTTCATAGTATCCGCTTACTTGTTTAATTTGCTAATCCATTTGCAAGTAAGAAATATAAAAAGAACTGAAAACGAAATAGTCTTTTAACAAGAATTCTTTCAAAATTAGCAAATACATTGTAAAGATGTCTGCTGTAAATATTTTTGTTTTTCTTACAGGAATTACCTAGAGTTCTACTTATTCATCAGATGGACAGGCATGAAGGTGCATGGACCATACTCCCATTAATACCAGAGTAAGTGTAAAATTTTCTGAAAATTTTAGCTATGCTTTAATGCATTTGTATATATAAACATTCAAACAGCTTTAATCTCCTTTTTATTTTTATTTTGTTTGGTTGTAACAATATGAAGCTAAAGTTTCAGCTGTTAATTTTCTTGCATTTGATTAGAATTACAGATGTTTCCTAAAGATAGTTTTCCAAAACAATTTAGTGTTAAGCTACAGTAGATCAAATACAGTTGTTATTTCAAATGTAATGGGAACTGAAAAATGAATTAATGTAGAAGTTAACTTCCTCCAGGAGTTCTGTATGTCACTGGATTATGTACTAGAGACATGAACTGGCTCAAAGTAAATATATTATGCTGATATTCTGAGAGCTCTACATAGTATATACTCATTTTTGCTAAACCAAACTTTTCAGTTGTAATAAAGCTGTTCTTCTGACAAATGAAATGGCTCATTTTATTTTTTTATCACCTCATTTAGTTGACTTTAATCTTTGTTATGTCACAACTTAGTTTAATGCATGCCATGGCGACTTATATGGTTGCTGATATATATTAGAGACTGTAGTGTTTATTGTACTGGTAAAATATCAAGGTAAATCTCAAATAAACTAATTTTATAGTTGGTGCTACTTATGTACAGTATAACGGTACAGGGGTGTCTTTTTTTGACTTTCTGTGGTCATGGAACCAGATGGGTCTTATGACAATTCAAGAAAAGGATAGCAGTCTTTCTGAGCTGAGAAAGGTAGGATGAGATGTATAAGAAGCCCTAGTAGCTCAAGAGTAGACTAAGGTTTATATTTGTGAATAACAGTCCTTTCCCAGGCACATAAGCTACTTTAATAGCCATTGCGCATCTGGACAAGGGCGTGAGTTTGGACCATAAATCCATTGCGTCTGTGCTGCTTTACAAGTGATGGAGGTGAGGGGTTCACCTGTTTACACACTCCTATCTGGATGGATTTTGCATAATGTGCAAAACAGCCCTTTCCTAACCTTAAGGGCCAATAAAACACCACCTCTTAAGATAGAAACAGATATCACATCACATTTGTGCTGCCATAAACATTTTTAGGGAGTCAAAACTGGTGAGCAAATAGATGTCCCTAATCTTTTTGTTACACCACATCAGTCACTGTGGGGAAAAAAGGTAGTGTAAAATAGTGTAGTTTCATTGTGGCATACAACCGTTTGCTCTGTGGCGGGGGAGTAGGGCAATCTGGAGCTGCTTGCACTTTCCAGCTGCCCTGGGTACTTTGAGGGCTTGAGGGGCCCTATAGTGTGCACCCTGGGAAGACATTGTTTCTCCTGCCTCTGACCCCTTCCCAACGTGGGATAAAAGGTGATGTGTTTCACCCAATAAAGTGGGCACCCACCACAGCTGATCCACTTGGGTTGGCAGTATCTGTTTTACCCTTAAAGAGATGCAAGCTGATTACGTTTTAAAACACAGGAGAGCCCAGTTAATGATCTGAGTGCCAGAGGATTACAGGCCTGCATAATCTTAATTAGATTTTAGAGTGTATTCCAAAGGAATCAGAATTTGCTGTTCTGGTTCCAGGATTGGTGAGTAGCTTCTAAAACCAAAGAATTTTGTAATCACTGTACTTGAAGGAAGCAGAGTTCTTGTTGTGAGATCTCCAAAATAAATGGCATCTGCATCTGGAAGGGTTTTGCATATAGAACCTTACTTGTAAGTGAATTGCTAATTGGCTCGGAGAATATATCTTGTTAGGCTGTTAGCCAGGTGGTGAGTTTCATCCTCTCTGTAGGATGAATTCTTACCTACCTGTTTTTAAATTAAGTTTTATCTTTTGATATTATGCTTTCTTGAACATCCTTACCAGTTAGAGCTTCTGAATTTTTTCCTATTATACCCTCTCATTTCCCTTTATGAATATAATTACTGTATATTCTCCATTGCTGTCCTCATCAGAGCCCAGAGTCAGGTGTAACGTTTGTCGTCTTCCAATCTGTGTTATGCTTGGAGTTATGTAAAAGGATCCCCTTGTGTATAATCCCTGAATGTAAGAATCTGCCACTGTTCAAGTATTACCATTTCTTGCTGGAAAGCTGGTATGTAAGAAAAATTATCATACAAGTTGACTTGTTATGACTGACTTGCTTAAGCAAGGCAGTTGGAGAAAGTGGGACTGCGTATCAAGGTGTTAAAACAGAACTCTCTGGTAAAAGGAAAAAGAAGATGGGTAGAAAGCATATGTATATATTTTAAATATAGTTTGGGATTTAATTTTTCTTAGCATATTGTATGTGCATACAGAATTTTGCAAGTATTTAGATTATTTAGAGACTTTAAAAGGTATGTTATTGAAATAATTAAGCAAATGTAGTGGAGACGACAAGATGGTTTTTTGTTTGGTTTTTTTACATTCATAGTTGTTTTGATCGGTAGTATAAACCTTCATCTTTATCACAAAATACAGCATATCTTAGATGATCCTGCTAGCAGTTGCTAATTTTTTCACTTACAAGCAGTTCAGATCCAGTTGCATTTCATCTGTTTTCCTGAACTTTCCTTTCTCATAATTCATGTTTTTGTTCCTTGGGGACTGCTCCATGGAAAGAAGATTCCTGAATTTATCATTATAATTTTTTACTTCCCCTGCATGGCTCAGTGGAAAGGAAGCCAGCTATGATTCCCCCCAGAGCCCTTTAGGACTCTCTTTCTTATCTCTTCTTGGTAAGGGTGATGGAGCCTAGTGCTTGATGCTGCCTCTTGTTCAGTAATATGCTTTATCCCTGCAGGCTTGGGACCCACATCTGTCTGTCTCAGAGAGCAGCAGGCCACCTGCTTGTTATAAAGTATTTTTGTTTCTGATTATGCTTTTCTCTGCCTTTCAGAAGTAACAAGATCTCCACGCTCTCCTAGCTGTTTCAATTTATCTGCAGTTGGCCCAAGTTTTTAAACCCAATCTTGAGTGTTTAAAGTTCCAAGCAAAGTCTTGAGTATCTGCCTGAGGTTATTTGTAGGGGAGGGAAACTGATTGTAATGGGCATCTTTACACGTGATTTGAGGTGGAGAGGGTAGAGAGCAGCTGTAATTAAACTGCCTACACCATCACATGTATTCAGTGTCCCTGCGCTTTGAAGTGGTGGCGGGGGAACTTTAACTAACTCTTTTTGAACAAGCGTTAGTTAAAGTGTCCCCAGCCACTTTGACCCAGAGGCTGCTGGAACATGCTAATTAATTATCATGCTTCAGCAAACTTGATTAACATTGAGTGTGCTAATGTGCTAATTAGCATGTGTTGGAGCAGACATCTGACATGTGTATAGGTACCCAGTGTTGTTTGGAGTACCTATAGGAGGGTGACCAGGATGTCTGAGGCTGATTTAGCTTCCCTTATCCTTGTCCTGACTGTTCTTTTCTGTAGCCTTTGGATTAAGCCCAGAGCTAGATCAACACAGAGAGGTGTGGCAGCTTGTGACTTAACTAGGCGTGGTCCTACAGTCATAGATGAAGGGGGTCCATAGCAGAAGCCCTACAACAAAATCTGTGAATTCTGCTAAATACCATGTCACAAGGACATGAAAAAGGAAACGTACAGGGGGTGACCCAATCCCTGCACCCAAATGAGATCCTCTTCTTGGAGCACAGCAGGGAGATCCAGTCTGGAGAGTAGATCCTGTGAGTGAGAGGTTTCAATGTAATTGCCAAAACCTGGAATCATTTAGTGCTTTTTCATTAGTATTCATACCAGAATTAACACATGCTTGACACTTGACATGACAAGTAAAATATACTGTCCCAACCTTGAGGATGTGACGTAGATGCAGTGTAATGAGTTAACATAATCCCTATAGGAATGTAAGCAGTATAATGATACTTACTGTAATAATACTCATTATCTTCAAGGTCCAAAATAACAAACAGATGGCTTAAAGGTTCAGAATCAGAATTACAGCCAGCAGTTCCACTTAGGCAGAGTAAAGTTGGCTACTGCAGAGGTAAACGTTACCTCGTCATAGCTATTCCAGGTCTGTGGAATATAGTCCCAAAAGAGCCAACAACAACCACAAAACTGAAGTACATTTTCCCCTCCGAGTACAATATATAAATCTGAGACCTTTTTTTGGCTACTATTACACTGCAGATTGTACATTATTATTGTTTTTTTTTAAATAACTTCTCAGTACATACCCTTCTCTGGGATGAAGATGGATGAGAGAATGAAGTGCGCATGATAGATGTAATCATATCCTTTAATGTACTTCTAAATGATGATCAGATAAAATATTGAGTGTAATATCAGAACATGTATAGCATAGAAATTGAATAAAATTATATGCATATCCTGAGGCTTGTTATGTTTAATTTTGTTTAAATCAAGTGAGCTGAGAAAGCAGGCAGGTGGAAAAAGGCCAGTCAGTTCTGTGGCACATAGATGCAGCTAGGATGTGTTCTCAGTTGATTTATTTTTGTGAACAATGCTTTCCCTCAGGTCTTTTGATTTATAGTGTTGAATAAAGCCTTCCACCACTTATGATTCTTCCTTTGAATGGCTTTACAAGGTAGAGTTCACAGGTTTTTTGTTTCCTGATTCATGTGATTTCAGCTGCTATTTTAAGAACTTCTCCTTCAAGGTACAAGCCTCCTGGTACCAGGAAACATGTCAGAGGAACTTAATGTGTTTCAGCAACAGTTGCCCTCATTGTAGGAAGTTGAGGTGTGGGGAAAGGAAACTCTTAGCGTATTATGAAGGCATGGTTTGGTTTTTTTGTGGATTTTTAAAAAATCTTGGTGCAGGTTTAAAGCAATCTCCATTAATATATTGAAATCCTGCTTAGTGAATGGATTTCCGCAGGGTTTTGTGCCCAATTCTCTGAGTATCTCTTGGTGCCCTTAGAGGCCTCTGCGATTTCTCTCTGGGATTCAGGGTTTTTAAAGGAACTTCCACTCTGGCTTTCTAGATTTTTTTTTTTTTTTTTTATATTGAACTCATGGTCTTGGCATTGGAGTGCCTCCCTTCAGGTCTAGTAGTCCCTTACTGTATGAACTTTCTCTTCCAGAATTTATACAAACTTCTCTTGTGTTTGTTGGACTAAAATTAATGGCTCAGAAAAGTATATTTATAATGCCTGTTTCTTTGATAGGTAGACCAATGAGCTGATCTTTTTTGCCAACATGAGGCATTCTAGATTGTGATATCTAAAAAGGACCATGTCCTACAGAAGCAGGAAGTAGACCATGGTAGCCCAAGTAGCCCAAACCAAGGGTTTATTTATAGGAATATGCTAGGTTTTAGATGGAATCTGGCGAAAGTGTACGAGGCAGCCACTGGTGCTTTTCCCGTAAGTTGTCTAAGAGCTATTGTCACCACATTTGATAACATCTGGACTGTTTATCTGGCAAGCAAGAGCTTAGAGATGCTCATGAGGTTTGTTATCAAATATAACTAATACCTTTGTCAGCCATTTTGCCTGTATTTGTTCATTTTTTACACTTTTGATTTGTTTTCACTCCTACTTATGATCAGAAAGAACTCTGATATTTGTGTTGCTCACAAGAGTTTTCCTTACCAAATAATTGTTTTCTTTCCTGTGGTTTGGTTCAACCAAGATGGATGCTATCCAGAAAGCAAGTTATTTCAGAGGAAGGACAATAAAGAGCCCATCTGTTTTAGAATTAGGGAATCATTTCATGGCTAATAGTTTTGTTTGTTTATGGTACAGAAGAGAACTTAGCTGGGGAGAATTGGAAACTAACTGGAAAGAACCTCCCCCAGCATTAAAGATCATGCATTGTGATTAGCTGGCTGAAACCCAATGAAAGAAAACCCCTTCAACCTATGTATTTTACAACCAAATTACAGAAAAATAAGGAAATGTATTTTCAAGGGGTTAGTGTAAGAATGATTTTGCTAAACCTGTCACGTACCAATCTCACGTCCAGGTTTATTGCTCTGTGTGTGTTAGATCAACAACATGGCTCCCTGGAAGAAAGTTATTTACCAGTACTGGGTTGTTGGTTATAGCCATGTTGGTCTAAGGATATAGGCAGGAAAGATTCTTTGGGTAGACGTGATATTTTTTATTAGACCGAGTACTTGGGGAAAAGTTCTTTGCAAGCTTTCGGGCACAAACACCCTTCTTCAGGCATTGGGGACTTTGCTGACTTTACGAGTTCTCCAAGGTAGAAAGGAAGCTAAAGTAAATAAGAAGTCTGTGAAGATGCAAATGAGTGGAAGTTTGGAAGATAAAGGGTAGAGATAGGAAGGGAGGGAAAAGTGTGAAGGGAAAACAAGTGGTCAGCTAACAGGGAGGTTACTGGTCTGTTAGATGTCAGGCAGGTTATAGAGTCTCCCAATGCCTGAAGAAGGGTGTTTGTGCCTGAAAGCTTGCAAAGAACGTTTTTCTAACTATTCAGTTGGTCTAATAAAAGATATCACATCTACCCAAAGAACCTTGCCTTACCAGCACTGAGATCTTTTAATTTAATTTCTTTGTGCATTCACATTCCTTCCTGGTTCTTGTTGAAACTGCAGATTCTAGGCAAATAATCAAGAACTGAGGGCAGATTCTGTGAACATTTATTTTGTGTTGCTCTGTATATAAGTTATAGTATGTGATCCTGTGTTAGCATGAACTGATAGTGGGACCAACTTGCTGGGTTCTTGACTTCCAGTTAATAAGGTATATAAGACTTGTATCCTTCTCATAAGCCAATCTTGTAGTAAACCAAACTCTTTCTTTTGTTAGCTTCTCTGCTACCTATGGTAGAAACTCCTCATGGATTTTCTTCTGTGAAGAAGACACACGAATACAAATTTTAAAGCTACTGGAAACACTTGGAAGATTTGACAAGTCGAAGGTGAAATACAGATTCGGATATTTAACTGTCTTTTGAGGGTGCTTGGAAGAGATTTTATATTGGATAAAAACCCTGAAAGACTAGTTCAGTTAATTCATATAAAATACCAACTTAAGAATGTAGATTTGTTTTGTTTTGTTTTTTTTAGCTATGGGTCTGTTTCTGTTGTAAAAGATTCCTTTCTAGACAACTGCTTTTACGGCTCATAGCTTACAAAATGATGTGTGGGGGGAATCTGACCTTTTTACAAGGAACTATATCTGTAACATTCAAGCAGGGAAGGGTTTTAGAGGCTTGTATATAAAGGCATAGATCTTCCCTGCCTTGGAGAAAGTTATCTGGAAAGAAGTTTTCTCTAGCTGAATCTCAGTGGCAAAACAGCAACCTACTTCAGGGTTTCTTGGTCTTTTTCTCAAGCATCTGGCACTGGCCACTGTCAAACAGAATTTTGGATGAGCTGGGCTTTAGTTTGCTCTGGTGGGTAGGACAATTTTTGTGTAATGTTCTTAGGCTGGCTAGTCCTTAAGGATGCCTATAGACATGCTCTAATGCATTCTAATTAGAACGCTCCAGTAAGCCTCACTATTACATGTAGTAAGCATCTTGTGTTTTGTTGAATGAGCTTTAGTTAAAGCATCCCTGCAGCCATTTTGAAATGTGGGACACTTAATACACATGATGGTGAGACATTTTAATCAGTGTCTCTCTCCAGGAACTGCTGTAATTAAAAATCCCCCCCCCCCGAGCATGTCTATAGGCACTGTAGGAGAGGAACAAAATCTTTCTTACCCATAGAAGAAAAATGAGGATTAGGAGACTTGTAGAACAAAGGAATACAACCAAGCCCATAAAGCAAAAACTATTACTTTAACAGCGTTGTTGTGTTTGATAGGAGTCGTGAGTTACTCTGTGTTTTTTCTGGTACTTGGGGAATATATTGAAGAAAACTCATCCTGATATCTTTACTTTGACTTGGCTAAAAAAACTATGCATTGTACTTCTTGGGACTGTGGCAGAAATAAGTCTTGTCCATTTTCTGTTACTTTAAGCAATGACTGAAGGGAAGCCCTGCTACAGTTTTAGATATTTATTTATTTATTTAGCATATTTACTCCAATTACAGTCACATAACTTAGCAAGATGTTCACAGTCATTTTTAAAATGAGAACTTTAGTAATTTTAGGGATATTATTTGCTCTTTTTTTGTTTTACTCTTATAGCTCCACAATATCTACACATCTTTCAGGTGTTTTCAAAATGTGAATAGGTTGTTTCTGTTACAAAAGCACTCTGTACTCATTTAACAGTTTTAAGAATTGATGAAGGTTTTTGTTTTGCATGCTCACTGATGGGATATATCTTTTTGGTATAATATAATAAATTCCACTATCACAATGATAAGTTGAGTTCCAGCTGGTATGAAAAGAAAATAAGATGTGTTTTGCTTTTCTGTTGAATAGAAAAGCAAACTAGTAAGTACCCTTAGTATGATGGCCTATACAGTAACTGATTCTTTGTATAGTGAATCAATAATCCATCAACTACATAGTTTTATGTGTTGGGTTAGAACAGAATTTTTCTCAGTGTAGTTTTATCATGTTGATAATATTCATTAAAAAAAATCCTAAAAAATATATGTGATCAAGGATGCCACCATGGCTCCAAAATCTCAGTCTTGACCACTCTCAGTCTGGTGATTTTTTTTTTTTCCCCCCCACCTCTCCTTCCCCCAATTTTGGTTGATATGGGGTGGAACACTTCATTTTAATGTTAATGTTCTAGTAGCAAGAACAGATGCACTCACCAGTGTTACGCACTGACTTCCTGTACAAGGTAAGCATTTTTTGCTCTAACCGCTTCCCCACCAGTCTTCATCACGCACCAGCTTTCTTCCTATTCATTCTTCCCCCTTTCCCTATTTTGGTAATAATCATTATATAACTGCCTATAAACCATAGTATCTTGCACAAACTAACATCACTGCCATGAACAACTTAATCTTCCTCTTCTGGCTCACTTTTTTCAGATTTAACTTCCTGTGCCTACTTGCCCCTGGTCTCCGTGGCAGTTCTTTTCTGGCCTCAACTCCCATGTTCTCTCTACCACGGTTTACTGGTTCCTGGCTTGAGAATCCAGTTAAAAACTGCAGTTGGAGACAGACTGTGACAGGCATGCAGATGGGAGAAGGAGGTAGTTTGACAGCAGGGAATCCTGGCTCCAAACTTTTAGAAATGCTTCCACATAATCCAGTCTGTGACCTCTAGCAGCCTTCTCTACTCTTCTCCTAAGCCCCACATCCCTTTAAAAAAAAAAAAAAAAGTCTAGCTCCCAGGTCCCTCAGAGTATCTATGATTGAATTCTCCAGCATGCAGTGAGGACAAGTACAAAGTCCTACACTTAGGACGGAACTGTCCCATGCACCAGTACAGGCTGGGGGCTGATTGGCTCAGCAGCAGCTCTGCAGAAAAGGATGTGGGCATTATAGTGGACTGTAAGCTGAATATAAGCCAACAGTGTGCCCTTATTGCGAAGAAGGCTAACAGCCTACTGGGAGGCATTAGTAGGATCGTTGCCAGCACAGGGAGGGAAGCGATTCTTTTCTTGGCATTGGTGAGGCCACATCTGGGGTACTGTGTCCAGTTTTGGGCCCCTCACTACAGGAAGGTTGTGGACAAATTGGAGAGAATCCAGTGGAGGAGTACAAAAATGTTTAGTGGGCTGGGGCATGTGACTTTTGAGGAGAGGCTGAGGAAACTGGGTTTATTTAGTTTGGAGAAGGGAAGATGAAGAAGGGATTTAACAGCAGCCTTCAACTACCTGAAGGGTGGTTCTGAAGAGGATGGAGCTAGATTGTTCTCAGTGATGGCAGATGACAGAACAAGGAGCAATGGTCTCAAGTTGCAGCAGGGGAAGTTTAGTTAGGTATTAGGAAAAACTGTCTCACAAGGAGAATAGTAAGTCACTGGAACCAAGTTACCCAGAGACTGTGGAATCTCCATCCTTGGAGGTTTTTAAGACCCAGCTAGGCAAAGCCTTGGCTGATCTAGTTGAGGCTGGTCCTGCTTTAAGCAGGTCTTGGACCAGATGACCTCCTGGGATCCCTTCCAACCCTGATTTTCTATGGTTCTGTGATTTTATCATATCAGAAACACCTGAAAGCTTTGAAACATTACTATTAATGATGTCTTTGGAAAATCCTCCATATCAGTTGGGAGGACAGAAGAACAAATGGCTGCATTTTGGCTCAAGCAAATGTTAACCCATCAATATTGTAACTAAAGTCCACAGATGAATTTATATTGGGGTGGGCAGGCATCTAATTAAAATACTCAGGCAAAATGGTCAAGAGCCGTAAGTTTTAACCAGGTAACCTAAGAGTTAAAACTGAGGCTGGATATCCACTGGGTTTTATATGAGAATTTTCACAAAATAAACACACTCACAGAAATATATTAAACCAAATGTAAGTATATTGTTAGATATAATTAAATACAAATTATAAAACAGAATAGAACAGTAAAGGAAATAGTTATATTAACATATACCAGAGTCATGCAACAACTCTCATTCTAGGAACAGAGATAAGCTGGAATTGTTTCGCAACCCTGGCCACTGGCCCACAGATTCACAAATTCATGCTCCCTCTCTCATTCAAAACAGCCTCTTCTTTCTCAAATGGTCAGCTATTACAGAGCTTAGATACACCAGACCTTTTTATAGTCGCATCAAATCATTCAGGTAAATACTTCACTCAGACTGTCAGGCAAATGTAAATGTACACTACCCCTTCTGCTGTCCTGATCCTTAACTTCATTTCTCTGTGCTCCCCCAACAGAAAGCAGAGACTAAGACCTCCATCGTGGTATTAGTGTCAGGGTGGTACTTTACCACAAGCTATTATTTCTGTGGCTCTAGGAATGTCATGCAGAGAAATTACCAAGGGTTTGATTAGAGAAGAACTATGTCCAAGTTAGATTCTCCAAGAGCTCACTTCATTACCACCCAGGACCGTAACAGAATCAGCACACCTCACGGATCAGAATCTTTCTCTCTGGAGCAGTAACCTCCTCCTTCTTCAACACACAGGCTAAAGTCAGACTCTTATACCCCCAAATCACTTCATCTTACTCATCCAATCACTTCACGCTCCAGCCTGTTCATCATCAAGTTTTGTATCAAACACACACTCAGACCATATACTGTCCAGTGAAATTCTCACTTGCCTTATGCAGTCTGCAACAATTCCCATCGTCAAACTTTGTATGAAACACTCACTTATACCATGTCCTATCCAATCAAATGCCTGTGCACACGTTATACCACGCTATTGCACATAGCACCATACCTTGCACTCAGCACTCAACAGGTGGATACTGGCCACTACACATGCTTCACAGCAAAACTTGGTTACTTATGTCAGCAAAGGACAAGAGCTCACTCTTGATAGAATAATCTTCCCTGAACTGACTACTATGCATGTGCAGTAGAAGATCCAGGAAGAGCACAGACCAACTGCAGATGGTTCCTCAGCCTGACAAAGGGTGTTTGTGCCCAAAAGCTTGCAAAGAAGAATTTTTTTCCTGACTATTTGAGTTGGTCTAATAAAAGATACTAATTTTACCCAAAGAGCCTTGTCTGTAGAACATCTTATGTATTCAAATGACAACTATAAGAACTCAGGCAGGGGAGTTGTCCAGTGGACTAAAAATCTCTTTCATCACAAGCACCACCAACATTGAAGCCATGATTATATAGCATCAGCTCCATTGGACCAGACATGTAATAGAGATGCCTGACAACCAGCTCCTGAAACAGGTCCTGTATTTCCAGCTAGCTAGCGGTCATAGCTTTTGAGGCAGGCAAACAAAGAGATTCAAGGATACTTCGAAGACCAATGTGAAAAAATGTGATATTAACATCAATATCTGGGAGCTGTAAGCACTGAATCATCCCTCAGTAGCATTGTGACATATGACAAGGCATGTTGAAGAAACCTGTCT